GGTGGGGAAGACAGCCAGCCTGGCTGAACAGGGATATTTTAAAGGAAATAAGAAGAAAAAAGAGAGCTTACCGACCATGGAAAAAAGGGCTGGCTACTAATGAAGAGTTTAGGAATATAGTTAGGTCATGTAGAAAGAAAATTAGAGGGACAAAGGCACAATTTGAGCTCAATCTAGCCACTTCTGTTAGGGATAACAAGAAGTATTTCTACAAATACATCAGTAACAAAAGGAGGGGCAAGGAAAACCTCCATTAGTTGTTGAACGTGGGTGGGAAAATAGATGAGGAAAAGGCTGAGGTACTTAACACCTTCTTTGCCTCAATTTTCAACAGGAAGACAGGTTGTCCTCAGGACAACTGGCCTCCAGAGCTGGTAGAGACAGGAAGCCAAATAGCCCCTCTGTAATCCAGGAGGGAACAGTTAGCGACCTGCTGAGCCACTGGGATCCTCACAAGTCTATGGGGCCAGGTGGGATCCATCCTAGGGTGATGAGGGAGCTGGTGGAAGAGCTTGCCAAGCTGCTCTCCATTGTTTACCGACAGTCCTGGGTCACTGAGGAGATCCCAGATGATTGGAAGTTGGTGAATGTCACACCGATCCGCAAAAAGGCCTGGAAGGAGTACCCAGGAAACTACAGGCCCGTCAGCCTGACCTCAGTGCCTGGCAAGGTTATGGCGCAGATCATCCTAAGTGCAATCACACAGCACCTACAGGATGGACAAGGGATCAGACCCAGCCAGCACGAGTTTAGGAAGGAAAGGTCCTGTCTGACCAACCTGATCTCCTTTTATGATTGAGTGATCTGCCTGGTGGATGAGGGGAAGGCTGTGGATGTGGTCTATCTGGACCTGAGGAAAGCCTTTCACCCCATCTCCCACAGCATACTCCTGGAAAAGCTGGCAGCCCATGGCTTGGACAGGGGCACTCTGTGCTGGGTTAGGAACTGGCTGGAGGGCCGGGCCCAGAGAGTGGTGGTGAACTGTTGATGGTTGGTCACTAGTGGTGTCCCCCAGGGATCAGTGTTGGGTCCAGTTCTGTTTAACATCTTTATTGATGATCTGGATGAGGGGATTGAGTGTACCATTAGCAAATTTTCAGATGACACCAAGCTGGGGGGAGTGTCGATCAGCAGGAAGGCAGAAGGGCTCTGCAGAGGGACCTGGACAAGCTGGAGAGATGGTCTGATTCCAGCGGGATGAGGTTCAACAAGGCCAAGTCCCGGTTCCTGCACTTTGGTCAAAACAATCCTATGCATCGCTACAGGCTGGGGACAGAGTGGCTGGAGAGCAGCCAGGCAGAAAGGGACCTGGGAGTTTGGATTGACAAGAAGCTGAACATGAGCCAGCAGTGTGCCCAGGTGGCCAAGAAGGCCAATGGCATCCTGGCCTGGATCAGGAACAGTGTGGACAGCAGGACCAGGGAAGTGATTCTGCCCCTGTCCTCAGTGCTGGTGAGGCCTCACCTTGAGAACTGTGTCCAGTTCTGGGCCCCTCAGTTCAGGAAAGATGTTGAGGTGCTGGAGCAGGTCCAGAGAAGAGCAACAAGGCTGGTGAAGGGACTTGAGCACAAGTCCTGTGAGGAGAAGCTGAGGGAGCGGGGGTTATTCAGCCTGGAGAAGAGGAGGTTCAGGGGAGACCTCATCACTCTCTATAACTCCCTGAAAGGAGGTTGTAGCCAGGTGGGGTGGTCTCTTCTCACTGGCAACCAGCAGTAGGACAAGAGGGCATGGTCTTAAGTTCTGCTAGGGGATGTTTAAGTTGGATGTTAGGAAGAAAGTTTTTACAGAGAGAGTAATCAGACATTGGAATGGGCTGCCCAGGGAGGTGGTGGGTTCACTGTCCCTGGAGGTTTTTTAAGATGAGACTGAATGTGGCACTTAGTGCCATGGCCTAGTAACCCCAGTGGTGTTGGATCAAGGTTGGACTTGATGATATCAGAGGTCTTTTCCAACTCGGTCGATTCTATGAACCATGAACAGCAAGCAGACAAAATAGAACAGTTTGACATAAGAAATGGTATGTCCAAACTATCTGGCAAGTACTTTCCATTAGGGAATATGTTAATAGAAATGATTACTTGCTCATAGTCAGCTTGAAGCAAAAAAATGAATTTGTTCCCAGTCAATATACACTCACCCAGTTTTAATTAAATATTTGTATGGAATGAGTCTCTTGTTAGCTGCCCTGGAAGATGTTCATGAAAACAAACATGCAGTATGGGAGATAAACAAGACTTATTAGGAATATGCACATGCCTCCAGGGCTATGATCTTACTGGCATCACAGAGATGTGGTGGGATGGCTCCTATGAGTGGAATTCTGGAACTGATGGGTTCTTTAAGAAGGACAGTCAATGGAGATGAGGAGAAGGTTTCACCTTCTATGTCAATGACCAGCTGGAGTACATGGAGCTCCACGTGGGGATGGATGAGGAGCTGACTGAAACTTTAAGGCTCAGGATTAAAGGAGGACAGGGACAGGTGACATTAATAGTGGGAGTCTGCTACAGGCTGCCTGACCAGGAGGACAGAGCAGATGAAGCCCTCATAGACAAAGAGGAGTGGCTTCATGTTCACAAGCCCATGTCTTTATGGGGGACTTCAAACACCCTGATATGTGTTGAAGGAAAAACATACCAGGGCATAAGAAATACAGAATGCTGGATTATATATGTAGCATATTTCACCATTCTATGATTTTTCCCTCCCTCCTCTCCAGGTTACTCAAACCAGCATGTAGCAAGACCTCCTCACTTTGCTAAAATAGGCCAATGAGAAGCATCATAACAGGGTACTTCTGAACCTGTCACTAGACACAAGTGAAGTCACAGAGAGAAAGTGATGCAGTACTACACTTTGAACAAACTGGCAAATGACTTACAAGAACAAAAGCAATCAGAGTTCTACCTCTGGCAACGAGAGGCATGAGAGGCAAGTGACCTCAGGGTGCATTGTTTCTGATGCCGACTTTCCTCTCTGCTGTACCATACCAAGCTGATGATGAAGTACCAAGGATATCTGAAACAGCTTATGATAACCTGATCTTTCAGCCTTGTGATTAATCATCTCCCAAGTTCCATGCATCCACAAGTAGCAGCACTGTGGGAGGTGCTGGTAAGCATCTTTTGTCTTTGTTTGTTTGTTTGTTTGTTTTTCCCTTTGGTGATGAATGCTACAAAATCTTTTGACTTTGAGTGCATTTTTGCCATGTAAGAAAAATGGTGATGAGAAGTTAAATCTTTCTTCTAGTGAAGAATCAGTCTTTCTGGGCATATTTTGAAAATTTGTTTTCTCTATTACAACTTTCATTTAGAGGCTACCTTTGTACCCTAGTAGAAAATAAGGCTGCATGTCACCTTGGGAACCTGCTTTTCAGAGAGGAAATTATCTTTCAGACACATGCCTTAGCTTAGTTTTGCTGTGATGAAGTGGTAACGCAGAGGTGCTGGTCAACAGGCACTGAAATCACAAATCTAGCTGAAACATATTTGTTTGCAAATTTACAGATTTGTGAGTAGTGGAAGAAGATGCAGCAACTATCACTGCCTCTCACTTATGCTGGTGATGCTTTTAACTGGTGGTATCCCAGTGGTGGTGAAAATGCAACTGCTGTCAGAAACAAGAGTTTTGTGGAAATAGGAGTAGATAAGTGTAGTTCTTAGAGTGACAAGATAGCTGAGTGGGATAATACTTCTGAGGAGTTACCTATTCAAGTGGGATCTCCTAAGGGTCCACAGTCTCACTCAGCAAGGATGCAGGAGGGTGAAGGGGGATGTGAAGATATACAAATTTCACCATGACTTGCCAGACCCAGGCAATGAGTAGTCACAGGGTTTTATTAAATACTGTATTTGCTACTTATGCAATCTCCTTCCCTCCTCCAGCAACAGAAATGTGGCAGCAGTGCCAAAAATGGAAAATGTGAATCCAAGATTGACCAATCACAAGAGTATCTGCCACTGGGACATTAGAGTAGGAAGCTAAATACAGTGCTAAGTTTAACTCTTTAGAGGAAGTGACCTTCAGTGTATACTGCAGAACAAAATTTTAAAGGGTTCAATTTTAAGCACTATACAGGAAAATCCAACTTGTAAAATACTGCACTATCTACCCAAGAAAATTTGCAAAATAGTTTTAATATCTTTATTTCCCAGGGCTCTTGCAGTTAAGGTCAGTAATTGTATAAAGGAAAAAATATAGAGACATGATTTGTCTCTGGAATGATAGAATATCATATGTATGGTGTACAGAGACACATTCAGACTGAATTCAAATGGTATACAGGAAACGAAAAGGCATATTAATCTTGTATATTTTAATTATTGTTTTACTGACTCACATTGGCAATAATGTCTCCATAATTCAATAAGTCTCAATTCAGTAGTTCAGTCTTAAATCTTGGAGAGCTGGTAGAGATTTTAATAGAATTCAGCAATTTAGTCGATATATGAGAACTGAGATAAGCAAATTAAAATCTACCAGAGATCGGATATAAAATTACAGACAGTATAATTTTTGATGGGCCATGACCTCAGCAGCTAGAAATTGTCATTTCTCTGTGAAATTAGATGAACAGCTAATGAGGCCACTACCTTGTGAACTTTGAAATGATAAACAAATAGTAATGCTGCAGGACAGGCAAAGTAAGTTATTTCTAACATCTGGAGAACCTGATGCAATTTATCTATAAATTCCACATAAACTCTTTGAATCTGCATATATTAGTATAAATAAGAGTAACTAAACTCAAGGATTATTTCTCTCCCAAAGGCATGCACATTTCTTAGTGACACAAATATGTATAAATAAATATAATACATTGCTAATCACAAGACAACCAACCTATCTTATGATTTATGTCTTGAATTCAGGTGGCCGAGTAAATAACTTAATCTTATTTATCCCAGTGATATCTGAGGTAAAATATACTGTGTTTTCCTTAGCCATCAATGAAATGATTGCTTTTCTTCAGCAGGAAATGAAGAGTGGCAGAAAGATCTGAACACGTTTGGACAGTGACTTTGTGAGTATGAATTCTGTCTGCCTTTCTTTACCTTGGGCATAAATGTGTGGTCAGGAGATTCCCTCTGAGCTTTTCTTGCCGAAATCTAAGGTGCCAGAACGATGCGCTGGTAAAGCTTTGACTGATGGGACAAGTTTTATCATGAAGGGTGAGAGATATATGTTTAGCAAAGGACAGAATTGGCAATTAAATGCATTTTATCCTGTGGGGATATGGGTAATACAGACTTCATGCACTTCTTGCTCTATGCAGCAGGTGATTTTTGATTGACATATTGCTGCCAGTTTTAGGCACAATTTTTTGCAAGCAGAGGATGATTTCGGCTGTCTCTGTAGGCATTTCCTCTGAGTATTTGGAAGTTCCTTACTAAATGTGCATGTTTATATAATCTTTAGTGCATTATACACGTACTTAATGAAGTGTGATTTTTTTTCAGTAGGTGCTTATGATAACTATTTCTCCAGACAGGCAGTAACATATTTGGGTGCTCAATTATATTTGTTGTCCATATCACTCAGCTCTGGAGTTATTGAAAATGTGGAAAGAACTGTATTATCAAAGATGTAAAAAGTAGTGTTATATAAATCCAGACTATAAATAAATAACTCAAATTTAAAATGAAAGATCAGTGATAGCAGGTTATTTCTTTGACTGGGAAAGCTAAGTGGGGTGGGGAGGATATGGACAACATTGGAAGTACTGGAAGAATCTTTATTTGCCTGTTCAAAAACTTACTTTCACATATTATGAGCAAAACAAAACTGAAACTCAACACAGACGCAGACCAAACCAGAATCTTCTCTTCTCAACCCCTTCAGACTTTAAGAAGCTGGACAATCTCAAAGTTCATCAGTCTTTTTTCTCTAAGAAAACCACAGATGAGGGGAGGGGAAGCAAAGTCAGCATCCAAGAACTTAATGACTGTGTTTCCTCATTGCATCTACCTTAGTCTCTTGGTGTAGGTAGATACAGATGTCAAAATAGTGTGATACAGATGTCAAAATAGTGTAATACAGGGGTGAACTGGGTCTACAGTTTCTATACCTGATTTGGAATGTGTTTTAAGATTACACACATGTGTAAATCAGGAGTAATGCCTCAGAAATACAGCTTTATGAATACATAGATTCTGTGTATTTCTATTCTATGGATTCACTGTTTTCTGTGTGCTTCCACTTCATCGGAGAAACCTTGCATTTCCACGCTGCTTCTATTTGCCTTCCCCAGTCAAGAAAGCATTTAAGGCCAAATTTACCTTTATCTCTGTATTTGGAATGGCTTTGAACAGAAGCCCTGGTCAATGGAATCACATTAGGAGAAGCCAAAGATCTGTGTCATTCCAGAGTAGAATACAGAAACTTCTGTTTGAGTAAGGCCATCTTGGGAATGTCAGGAATATTAGTTTTCAGGTTTCCATCAAACACTTTTTAGGCTGCTTGAGTCAGAGGAATAAATCCTTTGCCTATTTCACCACAAAGAAACAGGAAAAGAAGGAAAAGCTGCTTACCCAGAAAACAGATAGACTATGCTCAGAAAGTCATGCCAGATGCTCTGCCTGCATTAGTTACTCCCAGCAGGGCCAGATGCAATATTCTGAGAACTTGCTAAAAGCTCCAGTGGAGAAACACCAAGTGGGATGCGGTGGGCGAAGAATTTGGTTCCTTTGAAAAACGAAGACTAGACTTTCATCAAGAATCAACTCTTAGGCATTTCTGCAGACCTGTTATCTTCCAGCTTTCAGTTAAGAACTGCACTTCCCATCGCCTCCCAGACAGCTAGGAATCTTTCCTACTCTGTCATTTTAAAAGACTTTTATGCTGTGTTACAGACAATACATAGAATGGCTAAGTATAAAATGGAGAAATTCTTACCAGCATTACTAAAACTTAGTCAAAACAACATCAAGTAAATTTTAATACTGCCTTGCATCGTTACTATTGATTACCCTTTCTACTTGCTAACTATTTTTTAATGGCTAGATACCTCATACAGTGAAAAGAATAGGAAAAAAAAATCCACTTATTTTTCTTTACTTAGTTTTCTTGTTATTTTACCTATCATTTTCAGTCCATCATGGTGTTTTACTTCCTGGGTTGCAAACATTCTCAGTCATCATTTGGATACAAATGAAGCAATCCCTATTCATTTCCTGATATGGAACACATCTTTGGTAATGTCAGATCTTGAAAACTCTTTAAAAAGAACTTAACTTTGAGAGTAGAGCAACAGCACCATGTTACTGGAAACCATATGATAAATATACTGAGGAGAAGCTAAAAATACAGAGTAGTTTAGAATCTTTATCTTAGTAATACTGGCCTTTTTCTAGGGAGATTTTCAGTTCTGTTCCATCTGCCTATATCCATTTTTACCATACTTACCCCTGTTTTTAAAATAAATTTGGCTCTCTTTTTCAGGTTTCTTTTTATTCCAACCCCTAAATATTGTATCCATTTGGTTGCCTACACAAAAGTCCCATTTATGTGAAGAGTCCTGTATTACCCTTTAGTTAGGGGCAGTATTGCAGATTTTCCCCATTACTTCAAAACTTCAAGCTACAGTAGGCTGTGCCTATTTATTTCTGAGTTTCAAAAGTAGCTACATTCTGTTCAATGAGACAATGTAATCCATGGGAACTTTGCTACATAATCTTGACATCTAGTTGTTTGGATCAGTATTAAAGTCCTTCCTTTATGTGGTACCATTCTGGGTTTATGAGCATACAGATGATAATGAGGATAAAGAACTTAGAATCTAGTCTTTGGTGCACAACTCCTGATCCTTGTCCTGTGCTGTTTCCTTCTTCAATCACCTCTCTTTCATGTTTTTCCTAACTACGATGCGCTGACTATGAATCAGTTACAGAATAATAGCTATTTTACTAGAATCTCAAGTAACATTTCACAATGGATAGTTTACAGCATGAATTTACTGTGTGGACAAAAAGAATCCATCACCTAGCTGGGCAGAAGGGAAGGAGGCTCAATCCACCTTCATTGCCCACTGAATTACTTTGTTTCCTACTCAAGTGAAGGTAGAAGCTGGGGGAAGCAATCTCAGGAGCTGTGACAACACCTTGACTGCCTGGTATAAGACTCTTACAATAAGAGGAGTGTGAGCTGAGGGTCAGGTGAGGAGGACCATAGCTTTCTGAGGTGTAATGGGACTGTGCTTTGCTCACAGGGAGATACAAATCTTCACAACAAGATATTCCTTATAGTAGTGAGATGAATACAGCGAAGAGCAGGTGTACGTTTTACCCTTTGCTACCTGAAGTCTGCACTCCTCAAGACAGCTAACCCCACATTATCATGAGGACTGAAAGTTGTTTTGTGCTATTCCCAGCTTGTTGTGATATATACTGCTTTTTTGTTGACTCAGTCCATTGATTTGGGTTTTTTTTGGTGGGAGGTGGGGTGGATTTTTTTTTTCCTAATAAGGTAGGCATTTTTTCACCTTGAAAGAAACAGGAATGATCCTGTGATGAGCTGGCATGCAGTATTGAAAGGAGGAAGAAAAGCCTCACAGCAGCAAAGTATGTGTCTGTATATACAAAGTGAACATTACTCTGATTACAAGATAGGGAACAGAAGAAAAGCTACTTCTTTGAATCTATAATATTGATTGAACAATCATAATTATAGGCTTGTGCTGTAGCAACTGAGATTCCACAAAGTATTGTAATCACAGATGAAGGAATACAACTGGCATTTGAAATACTATCTTCACAAGTAAAGTAGTATCATAGTAGCTGGCCTTTATTAATTCAAAGTTTTCTCTTATATAGCTAAAAATAAAACAAGAAACAAAGAAATAAGCAACTGATTAAAATACTTTTATCATACACATACCAGGCTTAGCAGAAGGTGATGTAGAACTGAAATAATGCTGGATCAAATGTTCTCCTCTGCCTCTGCATGGCAACAAGCCCTGCCAGGCTCTGAATTCCCCTGCCCAGAGCAGACACTGAACATCAGCAGACACTGTCGGTCCACTTGATATGTGCTGTAGCAGAATGAGATACGTTATGGAGGACAAAGGAATGCTTTGTGGTTGTAATCCTTTGACTTTGTTTTATCCTCTGAAAACAGAGCAAGCCATTTAGACTTTTTTTTAATAGGAGAATCTAATTCTACTTGCACGTGAGCAAGGGGAATTGGAAAGAAAAAAAGGCAAATTACTGTATTGCCACAATTTGAGGCCCTGCTTTCCATTTTCAGGATATATTTAGCAAAAAAGCATAGGGCTTTCCAATCATATGATTTTTTCAAGAGTAGTAGGAAAAAATAGAACACAGTAAGTGTTCAAACTTTAAATAATTGAGGACCTGTACCAGCTGAGCTGATGTCTGGTTCATAAAAATTATCTTTATTTTTGTGGAATAATCCCTTAAATTTATCATGAAACTAAGGTTAACTGATTTAAATTTTAAATTTAAGTTATCTAATGGTTTGAATTTGTGGATTTGTGCTGAACACAGGGTTGATAATACAGAGATCTTTTTGTTATTGCTGAGTGGGACTTACACAGAGCCAAGGCCTTTTCTGCTTCTTATACTGCCACACTGGTGAGGAATTTTGGGGTGCATGGGAGGCTGGGAGCAGACACAGCCAGGACAGTTGACTCAAAATGACCAAAGGGATATTCCAGACCATATGACACGCTCAGTGGGAGGAAGAAGAAAGGAAGGATGTTTGGAGTGATGGCGTTTGTCTTCCCAAGTCACCTGCTTGCCTATGGGAAACAGTGAATTAATTCCTTGTTTTTCTTTGCTTGTGTGTGGCTTTTGATTTCCCTATTAAACCATCTTTATCTCAACCCATGAGTTTTCTACCTTTTACCCTTCCGATTCTCTCCCCGATCCTGAAGGCGGGGGAGAGAGCGAACGGCTGCGTGGGGCTTGGTGTCTGATTGGGGTCAAGCCACACCAGAAATGTATGTCTGAGCTTAAGCACAGTGACTAACTGGATTTTTTTCCCCTCCTGTTTTGGTTTGGAGCACTGTATCATAAAAACTTGCAGAAAGCAGGTGTCAGGCTGCTTTGTGCCGCACATATGGCTGCTAGGACATGAAGCTGTTGGTTTCTCTAACCTCAGAAGAGCAAGGTCAGCTCTCAGAACAGGAAGAAAAAGGAGTATTGGCATTGCTTACACTGTGTATTTCCACTCCTGCTCAGACATACATGAACAGAATCTATGCAATGGAAACAGGAAAATATAAAGCTTATAGTATAACCCTTGTATTTCTTAATAATTAGCAATTATGTATTGCTGTGCATAAATACTGCCTTCCTCATGAAGGCATATGTAACACGAGCTTGAAATTTTGACGTGGAATGAAGCTGGATTTTCTTGTCTGAGGATAACTTTCAAAATGAATGACATCCATGTTAATAACAAGAGACAGTGCCTAAAATTTCCATCCACAAAGAAGACTCCAGGATGGATCAACTGAAACATCTGTGTTCAGTTCAATCCTTTATTTTGATGTCAGTCCTAAGAGAAATAAAGGAAAATTTCCAAAATAAAAATTATTCAGTAGTTTGAATACAAAATTTCTCTTTAGTGTGTATTAATCCCCCTTTGCTTCCCTATTATGGAAACTTGTTTCCCAGACAAGTGTCCAAAAAGCACACTTGAAAAGTTCAAATCTTTAAAAGAAAAAATATTTTTCTCAAACAATGTTTTTTATGACTGTTAAGAATCCCCCAGGGAAATGGGAAAATTAAAGCTACACAGAACTGAAGATGCATTCAAATTCTATTCTAACATGAGTGTTTCTAAAGCAGTCTTTATTATGATATTTAAATGCCATACATGAAAACCTTCATGCACTTCTGCTGAAGGTGGAAAGAGAAGCCATCGGTATTAAGGTCTACTTATTAACCTAGATCTATAATGAACACTCCCGCTAAAATCAGCAAGAATTCACTAAATCTAGAGCATATTAATGAAGGCGGTAGAAATAGATGTGCAGTTGTTTTGCTGACTGTGAGCTTTTCAAGGTCTGCTTTGAGGCACTCCATAAGTGTTGCCTCATATGCTTCCAAAGTAGGCTGGTGTTAGTGTTGGAAAAATTAAATAAGTCTTGAGAGACAAAAGAAGAGTTGTCTGTTATGACATTTCTCTCAACTGGAAAAGAGGGAGGAGAACTGGGTTAAGCCAGCTCTATGTCCTTGCTAAGAGCTGCAGACAGATCATCAGCAACCGATGATGATCAATCAACAGCCATAGAAGTGTTGATTATTAGGGACCTCTGAAGGTTGTCTACTTCAACCACTGCCAAAGCACGATCTACTTCAACCACTCAAAAGCATGCATCTCCATATATTTTAGCAATGATTTTCTGCAGCCAAGTAAGAAAATCCTCCAAAAATCATCATCATTTCCAAAAGTAATTTATTCCAGTGCTGCGCTATTCTCCTCATGAAGAAATTATTCCTGTTGTGCCATTTGGACCTCTCAAGCTGTAGGTCTTAGCCATTTCCCTTTATTTTATACTGTCTGTCATTGCTGAGAAGAGGTCAATTACACTGTCTTTTAACTGTTTCATGTGGTTGTAGGCTATTAGCAAATTATCCCCTAGTCTTCTCTTCATCAGACAAAGTTCAGCTGTCTTAGCAGGCAGCTTCTGAGGAGCAGCTCTTGGCTCCAGCTGCCCTGACAGCAATCTACTAGACCCTCTCCAGTTCCTCAGCATCCTGTTTTAATGGGGAGGCTGAAAACAGGACACAGTATTCCAACTGCAGTCTCAACAGCAATGAGAGGAAAGTTCCACCTCATGTAGCTCAGCACTAGTTTCCTTCATTGATAGTGACAGCATAGAGTTGGCTTGTTTGACCTGGTTCTGACTGAAATAGGTCCATTTTAGCAGGGCTGCTCCTAAACCAGTTCTCTTCCAGCTGTGCTGACAGGTAGGGTCACCTCATCCCCAGTGTAATACTTTGGGCTTTTTGCTGAGCTTCTTGAGGCATGTGTTGGCTCAGTCTTAAAGTTTCTAAAGGTCTTTCTGGATGGAACCTCCTTAGAGATGTGCTGAGGGTGTGCTCTCTTACTATCAAGTCTGTTGATGAAGATATTGAACAAAAGGGACCATACTACTTACCTGTGGTATACTTTGCTTCTTAACCATCAGCTCAGCATCAAACTATTGATTTTGTTTGGGTTTTTTTCCCTCCATTGAACCTGTTGTGTTGCAGACAATTTACAATCTAGGGTTGATATCAGTCAGTTAAAATACTGCCTGTGTATTGTCTTTCTTTGTAGCATAACGGTGATATTTCAATGGTATCAGATTTTTTAAGTCACACAATATTAAAATCTGAAGACTAACCAGAGTGGTTCAGACTGCAGATTAGTGTAAATAATTTTCACTATTTTCCTAGTCTTTTAATGCTATATAAAAACAGATTATATCTGAAATAATATTGATTAAAATTGCTCTAGTTAAGCTTCTTCAGTGTGCTTATTACAGATGCCTGTCCAGATGTCCCAGGACTGCTGTGATGAGGCTTGCAATGAAATGAAGCATTCCTTACTGATTTTAAATAATATGATGAGGTGAGTTGCTTGCTCAAAAATTCAATTTCCCTCTGTTTTACTTCTTCCAGGATGATGAACTGAGCTATTTCTTCTTCTATAATCTAATGTTGGTGGGACAGAATTCAACTTTTCACACCAAATAGGATGCTGATATCATATTTAATACTATTTTTTGCCAGTAATACACAAAGGTCTCAAAGCTAACAGCCCTAAATTTTTTCTCATATCAACTGTGCTTTTCAAAAAGGCAACTACGAACTCCAGAAATAGTTGTATTTGCAGTATTTAGTATCATCACAAACACTGTTCAGAAGGATTGCTTAGCTACATTTCCACTTTCTTCTGCACTTCTACCTGTTCTTAAAAAATTGCAATCTATTAGTGTAAGAGTAACTTTGACAAGCCAGAAGATAGTCCCTTAGATCTCAAAAACCACTTGTAGTGGGATATTTTTCCTAAAGTATAGTGCTTTTCTGAAATGAACTTACATTAAAGAGGGAGTTTTTCTCACTACATTTCTTGTAGAGCAGATTCCCATCTGCTAATTTGAGTGACACAAATACACTTCACCGTGCTTTATTCCTGTTTGCCCTGCAGAGGTACCACTGCTGAGAGATGCTTTGATTTCTTTTTCTTGTACTTTATCAACAGAATTGTTTAAGAAGCATCCATGGAACATATCAGAGGCAAGTGAAAGGGCAACTGTTACAGAGAGCACAATCAGAAACTTCTAGACCAGAGAGAATACCTCAGGATGAGATTCAGCAGACGACATTTGGCTAATTTGTATTCTTGAAAAAGAACCTATCAGGATTATGAAGAATTTAATAAGAAAAGAAGAAAGGAGAGATTATTTTCAAACCAAAAAATCTGCAATGAATTTATGAAGATACACTAAACTAAGCTACTCAAAAAAACAGAATGACTTTTTTTTTTATTTTATTAGGAAATGGTAGGATTTATCAAAACTTAAATTCTTCCTAGAATAGGATGAGAAATTTAAAGAATGCAATCCATAGTGAAAATGTAATCTTGTGAGTAAATGCGCATCTGAGTTTTGTGTGTGTTTAAAAACAAACTGTTTCAACTGTATCAAGATGCTGTGATAACTTGTTGTCAGCATTTTATAATACTACCTGACATACATTTAAATTTCATTGACCTGGCATCTTTCAGTAGAAAACTACTTCCCTGGAAATTGTTTAATCAACTCACAGATGAAATAGTGCACTATAAATGTTTTCGGTTTCTTTACATCCTTGTCTGCATAGTGAGTGCTTCTCTCACCAAAATCAGAGAACTTGAACTCTTACCAGTACTAGTGCTCTCTTTGCTTTTCCCAACCCAGACCACCTTAGCAGCCTGCCTTACCCTCACAAATGAGTCAAAGATGAAAAAACATTAAGTTCCTGGAGTAAAGCTTTCCAAGAGAAGGCATTTAGTGAAAATGTATCAAGAACTCCTTTTAAGGACACTCGTAGACCTGAACTATTTCCAGAGGAAGTAAGCTTCCTCAATTTAGCTTTTAAGTGACACTCTATTTTAACATAAAGCTGGTCCTCAAAAATGAGGATACAAAGAATAGCGTGCGTGCAGTAGGTTTGTTTTGCTCGAGAGCTTGTTGCTGCAGGTGTTTTTGCAAGTGCTGGGGTCCATCAGTGCTGGGCACTTTTTAAACATCATCTCCTAAGGGCACCAGGAGCAGGCAATTCCTGAAAGTTGGAAGTCAAGCAAGAGAGGCAGAAGGCTGGATCGGCTAAGCAGCAATCTTCTCTTGGAAATAAGGCAAAAAAGGGAGGTATATGCCCAGTGTAAGCAAGGTCAAGTGACATGGGGAGAATACAGAGATTCTACTTGCCTCTGTAGGGAGAAAAATCAGGTGGCCAAAGCTCAGCTGGAATTGAAACTGGACAGAAACGTGGGGGACAATAAAAAGAGTTTTCTTCAAACATATTAATGGCAATAAGGTAGTATAGAAATATCATCCTGGGTGCAATCACACAGCACCTACAGGATGGACAAGGGATCAGACCCAGCCAGCACGGGTTTAGGAAGGACAGGTCCTGTCTGACCAATCTGATCTCCTTCTACGATCAGGTGACCCACCTGGTGGATGAGGGAAAGGCTGTGGATGTGGTCTATCTGGACTTCAGCAAAGCCTTTGACACTGTCTCCCATAGCATACTCCTGAAAAAACTGGCAGCCCATGGCTTGGACAGGGGCACTCTGTGCTGGGTTAGGAACTGGCTGGAGGGCCGGGCCCAGAGAGTGGTGGTGAATGGGGCTGCATCCAGCTGGCAGCCGGTCACCAGTGGTGTCCCCCAGGGATCAGTGTTGGGTCCAGTTCTGTTTAATATCTTTATTGATGATTTAGATGAGGGGATTGAGTCCATCATTAGCAAATTCGCAGACGACACCAAGTTGGGAGGGAGTGTCGACCTGCCGGAAGGCAGGAGGGCTCTGCAGAGGGATCTGGATAGGCTGGAGAGTTGGGCTGATTCCAGCGGGATGAGGTTCAACAAGGCCAAGTGCCAGGTCCTGCACTTTGGCCACAACAACCCCCTGCAGAGCTACAGGCTGGGCCGGGCAGAGTGGCTGGAGAGCAGCCAGGCAGAAAGGGACCTGGGGGTGCTGATCGACAGGAGGCTGAACAGGAGCCAGCAGTGTGCCCAGGTGGCCAAGAAGGCCAATGGCATCCTGGCCTGATCAGGAACAGTGTGGCCAACAGGACCAGGGAAGTGATTCTGCCCCTGTACTCAGCGCTGGTGAGGCCTCACCTGGAGTACTGTGTCCAGTTCTGGAAAGATGTTGAGGTGCTGGAGCAGGTGCAGAGAAGGGCAACAAGGCTGGTGAAGGGGCTTGAACACAAGTCCTATGAGGAGAGGCTGAGGGAGCTGGGGTTGTTTAGCCTTGAGAAGAGAAGGCTCAGGGGAGACTTCATCGCTCTCTACAACTACCTGAGAGGAGATTGTAGGCAGGTGGGGGTTGGTCTCTTCTCCCAGGCAATCACCAGTAGGACAAGAGGGCATGGCCTTAAGCTGTGCCAGGGGAGGTTTAGGTTAGATATTAGGAAGAAATTCTTTACAGAGAGGGTATTCAGCCATTGGAATGGGCTGCCCAGGGAAGTGGTGGATTCTCCATCCCTGGAGGTTTTTAAGATGAGGCTGGACTTGGCACTTAGTGCCATGGTCTAGCAACTGTGGTGGTAGTGGATCAAGGGTTGGACTTGATGATCTCAGAGGTCCTGTCCAACCCGTCTGATTCTATGATTCCATGATTCTATGAGCATTGGCCCGTTACAGAATGAGTATGGTCACCTCACAAACAGGAATAGAGACAAGGGAGAGGTGTTTAATGCTTTCTTTGCCTCTGACTTCAACATGGATGACAGATCAAGGGGGTCTCAGTGCCCTGAGCTGAAGGACCATGAGTGCAAGAATAATCAACTCCCAGTTGACCCTGAAGATGTGTGGGATCTGCTGCTCCAGCTGGATACCTGCAAATCTATGGGGCCAGATGGGGTTCATCTGAGAATCCTCAAAGAGTTGCTGATGTCATCACAAAACCTCTCTTGATTTTTGAGTGGTCTTGGGTATCTGGAGAGGTGCCAGCTGACTGGAAGATGGCCAATATTGTCTCAATTTTCAAGAAGGTCAAGAAGGAGCACCCTGGAAACTATAGGCCTGTCAGTCTCACTTCAGTGCCTGGTACAGTTATGGAGAAGATTATTCTGCGAGGTAATTAAAAACACCTGAAAGACAATGGTAGTTGTTGTTACTGGTGTTGCCAGTATGACTTCATGAAAGAAAAGTCCTGCTTATCAAATCTGATTTCCTTTTATGACAAGGTAACCCACCAAGTTGATCAAGGGAAGCCAGTTGATGTAATCTTCTTGGATTTCAGTAAAGTTTTCAATACTGACTCTCCCAGGATTATTCTGGACTAAGTGTCCAGCACACAGCTGGATAAACAAATCTTGCAATTGGCTCATGGGTCAGGCACGGAGGGTAATATTGAATGGGGTGACATCAGGTTGGTGACCTGTCACTAGTGGGTTTCCACAGGGCTCCGTCTTGGGCCCAGTGCTCTTCAACATCGTCATAAATGACTTGGATGCAGGACTGGAAGGGATACTAAGCAAGTTTGCAGATGACACAAAACTCGATGATCCTTGTTTTCTGTTCCAGCTCATCCTATTCTGTGATCCTCTGATCCTGCCAGGCACTGTTTGGTGTTCCTGGAGTTCCTGAAGGCTCAGAAAAACACTGAAATAGGTGGCTGCAGGGATGTTCTTCCCCAGATTGAAAACCAGAAATAACTAGTGAAAGGAAAGGCTTTAACCTTATAGAAAGTACAAAGGACTTTTGTTTTTTAACGTGCCACAAAGCCTTATGTTCCTAGATATGTTTAAAGGGCTCATTGTCTTCAAACTGGGCCCGGAGGTTCATGACTGTGCCACTGGCATGGGTTCATATTAACATTTCTGCTGATGTTTCTGATGCCTGGTTCAAGGAGACATTTAGCTTAAATTAGAAATCTCTTCTGCCACAAAATTCCTGGAATCATAACTATTAATAGAGTCACTACTGTATATTATTTTTTATCCACAAAATTTCTGTAAAATATTTCTTATGAAGTAGCCTTTAAAGCAAATTCAAAGATTAATGTTGTGCTAGATGGAATGATAGAGGTGGCATCAAGATGACATTTTCTAAGGATTCTTATTGCTAATATCTGTTTTTTCATAAGCAATAATGCAAAAGGTCTTTCCTACAGAATAAGTGACACTAAGCTCTGTAGGGAGTTTACCTGAATAGTAACTCACAGTATTTAACAGAGCTTTTTATTTATGGTGTTTTCATTAGCAAATAATGATTTAGAGATACAGATGCTTCTTCAAATATAGAAATTTTGTCTATTAAATTAGGATCTTAACATTATTGTGAGTATTTTGGAAAATAGAGATAATACTTGATTATATTTTACTATGACAGAGCTGATCTGTTCCATTATTTTTAGCCTTGAGGTCATTGAGAATTGGAGCAACTCGCCAAAGATTTTTGTAGATTGCCCGTAGCTGGAAGTTGGCATATCAAGACTGTGTGATGTTTCCCCCCAGAGAAACCTTATTTAGACAGAAAATAAATTCATTCAGGAGATTCCTCTGACCTGCACAGTGTGGTTACAGGATTGTAGCCAGTTACTTTTGATCTTAAAACCTATTACTTTACAGTATATTAGATGAACCTATACATCTAATTTGCAGTACACACAGGCCTCCCAAAAAGTCCTGTGGTAACTTTGCAATGTGTTGTATGGTAATGAAGTCCAATTCCTCTTACTGGGCAATTGGGATGATGCTCACAATGCCAGCACTCACAAAATGCTTAAAAATCCTTGGATTGAATTCTGTTCCTGTAAGTAGGGCAGGGATATAACATAGCTGTGAGTAATGCAACTTAGTTATGTGCAGCTGAAAGCTGTTGGGAAAAACGTGCACACAAGATGGGTGAGAGATAGGAATCTTGCTAACAGTCACCTCATCTCTCAGTCTTAAGGCTAAACTGGACTCACAATCACCTTTCCTTCATGTCGGCTCTGTAACCCAAGTTGTAGTGAAGTGGCTATCCAGTTTTCATGCTCCAGCCTCAAGCAGGTGATACTGAAATTGTAAAATGTCATCTCTGGTTTGTCTTTCTACTGATGTTTGAAACACAGATTATTCCTATGAAAACAGAACTGAAGGAAGACTATTCATTTTAAAGGATTTATAGTAGCACTTCAAGGTAAGAGAGTGGAATGATTAAACCCTGTGTTGTCAAATTTGTTGTCTAAGACAAGGTACCTAAATGTGTGCCTGGATGTACACATAGACAAGTAAACAAAT